TTACAGGAAAAATAATCATACTCCAAAATCCTGTAAACGAGGGCGATTTTAGGAGAGTTGTGTAGAGAAAGAAGTTGCAAGATTTTACCCGAACTGTTTCTTCTGGTAAAATCATTAAAAGTGTCAAGCGATCACTGGTTGACGTTTTTACAAGAAAAATGCTTTATTGTTCTGGTACTTTCTGCTGTTACTCACTTTTTACTCTCACTTCAGAGAGTACCTAATTTTGCTGTTTGACATTTGTACAGAATTTTACACGAAAAGTATTGGATCAGAGACCTGGCCAAATGTGTGTCGGTTTTAAAGCCGGTTTCGATAGTACAATAAGGAGATGTCTATACACCACGACGGCTGAATTTAAATATCTCCACCAAGCTAATGCAGCTTGATGGCAATCTCTTCGTTGGAAAAACCACATGGAGAAGGATTTGGCTGCACTTGACAGCGGCGCAGAGGACTTGAATTGCAAGGAAAGTAATGTTCTCTTTGAAAATAAAAATACCGTTTTACCTTCTCCCCTGTATGAAAGATTCAAAAACCCGACAGCAAAAATTTTGCATCAATCAAAGCTTCTCCTTTTGTGGCTCTCTTAGTTATCTTCATCATTCATCGAAGCTCTTTCAGTTATTCAATTCACACCAAGAACTGTTCGTTCGGTAGGCATAAACCGGATTATATAAACACACCTGACAGCAGATGTGAGAGATTGCACCAAAATAAAAACAAACAAACAAAGAAGTGCAAACGGAACGCAGCTTTAATACCGTTTATATTGCGTCAAAAAAGGCTCTTTGCAACCGAGAATCAAAGTTATGAAAGCGCCATGTCATCAATGATTCCTCGTTGCGAGAAATACATATATGTAAGTGTTTCTCACAAAACATACTATGCCGTTCGAAGCTGGCGGAAATCAATCTTAACGAAACTGACCACCATTCATTTAAATGACTTCCTGTTTCGGTGCGGAAAATGTGTACTCGTGCAATTATCAGCCGGCGACATCTAACGGTGGACAAGACAAACTATTTACAAAATAAAACGCACTTCAAATCCGCCAGATGTGGCCACGAAACGGTTTATGTGTAAGATAAACGAAAGCGTTCATACTGCAGTGTTAGTAGTACACTGAAAAAAAACGTTCCTCAAATTTATGCGTTATATTTCCTTATTATTGTAAGCTTGTTTCTATTTTTTATAAAAGTCTAGCACATTACATAACCAGCACCATATACATATGTAAACCCACTTTTCAAACTTCGTACAAACATTATAAAAATTCGAGAAATTTTCAACTTTTTATTTAGGTTTTTTAGTAACATTTCAGGTATACAGTTTTATAGCCACAAAAATTTGAATTTAAAACTTCGTACAAAAATTGTAAACATTCAACAAATTAGTACCAATTACACACAAAAATTTAAAAGTTTGTATTTTTTATTAAATTTTAGTAGGTTAAAGTGCAAGTTTCAAAACGTTAGAAAATCGCGTTGATGTCGAATAATATTTTTTTGTATACATTTTGTAGGCATTTTCTTCCATATAAAAGAAATGATCGAGCATACTTTAATACTGAAAAATAAAAAAGCTCTCTTCGACAAAAATCCGCTATTATACGCGCTGGGCTGGAAAGAAACGCAACGGCTTCCAAAATTGCATCAGACCTTAATTTCTTACCAGTGTGTAAACGACGTGAGCAACAAATTTTAGTCAGCAGCGATCGCTTAGTTTGAAAAAAAAATATGAAATCCAAACCGGTAATGAATGAGTCCCAAAATTTCCGGCCGTATGAATTCGGAGGACTACATAAATCTTTTGGACGAAGTTTTTATTAACTTTATGGAAGATCTACCGAACACAAACGCGACATTTCAGCTGCAATACACGCATGACGTGCCACCCGCAGTTGGCTTCGAGGGAAGGAAATCCCTTTTTTAGAGTGGCCATCACGATGTCCAGACCTACATAAATCCGATCGAGAACATGTGAGGAAATTTTTCACGTCGAATATACGCGGGAGGACGAAAGTTTCAGGCGGTAGAACAGCTGCGTAGCATCGTAACTGAAGAGTGGTCCAAAACTCCGCATTCGGAGTTCCACAAAAATATTTCTAGTGTTCAAACTAAAGATTTCTTAACAGATTTTAAAACACATATTGAAATTAGGTAATTGTCCAAATTTAAGTGAGTTAGATTTTTCACGCAGGTGGCAACTCTCCTAAATATATTACAGAAATAAAGCCTTTTCAAAATCGTTTCGATGATATCCATCTTTTATCGATAACACTATCGCTAAAAATTTTGATGACAAAATCGATAAAAAATATCGGTAAAAAAACCTATAAAAATATCGATTATTATATCGATAAGTCCCGAGAATCCCGAAAACCTCTTAAAACCCAAAATAGTTCCCAGAATTGGTCTCTATGTTTCTATCTATATACTTTTTCTATAATTACCTATATTTTAACCTTTCTTCCGCTATCTTCATCTTTACTTTTCAGTATCCTCATCTTTTTCTTTATATTTATCTTAGTTTTACTTATCTTTTTCTTCATCTACATATTGTCCTTCACCTTTGCCCTTAGATAAGTAGTGTTTACATTTACCTTGGTTTTCATTTTTGGCTTTATATTTATGCATCTTTTTTATTTTTACCTTTGCCTTTATCCTTTTCCATTTCCGTTGAATTTGCCAATTTACTCCCAACCAACCAACCAACCGCCCTAAAGAAGTTTCATTTCAAAAATAGGAAAATAGAAAAAAATTTGTTAAAATGTCGTGTCCCTATTTAGTTTTCCACCACTGTATATACAATCATCAGTTTCCATATTAAATTAATTAAAATATAAACATCGTTTTTCACTAGAACTGCTTTCGTGAAACTGGCTATTAAAGCTCAAACAGACGGCAGCGTTGATCCGGATCAACTCGGGAATTAACTGGAGTTGATCCGAATTAAGTCCGAATTAATCAGGATCAACGCCGCCGTCTGTTTGAGCTATTATAGTCCCAAACTTAGCACACAAACGAGCAACACTTTCATAAAAGAAAAGTTGACAGGTAAATAGCCAAACGCCAGGTAAATAGCCAAACGACAGGTAAATAGCCAAAGAATGCTAAAATGTCTCTTCCCATTCCATATTTTAGCCACTGTACACACTTACTTGTCTGTAGGTATGATAGTAGATATGAATCTCGGGTAGACAACTCCAACTAATACTTTATTACCATTTCTAATTGTCGATCAAAGCATCTCGAACAACACCTAAAAGCTACTGTGCAACAACCATGAGTTTCATACCTTTCTTAGTACACACGTATGAATGTATGTATGTATGTGTAAAATGTCGGCATGTGTGTAGTTAATACGCTTGTTAAACAACGGTACAAAGTTTTTTTTTTTTAATTTCCTAAAACACTTGGCATCAGGGTTGCCACTGACGAAAAAAAATATTTACCATCCACCTGAAAAAAATCTACCAAATCTGGGAAATATCTACCAATAACTTTTTTATAATTATTTTAACAAAAACAATAGGTTTGTTATTTTTTTATTTATTTTAATTGAAACTATAGTTTTTTTATTTTTTTTTTTAGTTATTCCAATAAGAATTAAAATTGTTTTTAAGAACTTTTTATTTAACTAGTTATACGGTATTTGAATCATATTATTTGTTGGCATATTCTCAGTTTCCTTCAACCAAAAGCGGAAGTGATGAAACTAAAGGCAACAATGAAACTTTATTATTTGAAAAACTTCAACTCGAGTTGTTATAGACAAATACTGTGACTTAAAAATGTTATTTTTTTTGTAATGTTCGCAATATTTTTCGAGTAAAATTTTTATTGCTATAACTTAATCCAAAAAAATCGGGGATTCAAACTATATACAACATACACAAAAATTCCAAAAATTTTCGTCTAAATTTCGAATTTTTTAGAACAATTTAAGGTATGGAGTTTTAAAGCAAATACTATTTGAGTATAGCCAACAATGTGCTGCTTCAAATTCCCGTTAATTTTTATATATTTTTTTTCCATAAATAAAAAATGGCGTTGATTTATTTTTTTTTGTGAACAATCATAAGGCGTAATTACATATGTACCTGTCCATTTTTTCTTTATATTTAAATAATCATTCAAAATATTTAGGCAATCAAAATTCCAGTAAAATTAGTTTTGAATGGAGCGCGATATGTTCGCCATATATCGATATACATTTATTATAAAGATAATTACGTATAATAAATCGGGAACGGAAAGTTCATCAAAAATCTACCAAAATGAGAAAAAATTTACCTTTTTACCAACCCAAATTTTTTCTACCAATTTTGGTAACAATTTACCAAAGTGGCAACCCTGCTTGGCATGCTTTCAAACCGATCGGATTTTCCTCGAGCCGAATCTCCCTAGACGAGTTGGCGCTCAGCAAACGACATATCTATGTATGTACATACACGTGTACATATTTACACAAGTGTTCAGCCGACCGTTCGGTCGTGAGTGGATCAGCACAGCTCTCCCGTTTGGATGGTTCCAAAGCACGCACTCAGCTCTTAAAAACCGACGAACCTTACAGCGTTCTAATTTCTGGGGCTCACTTGGTTAACGTTGCTTATGCACATACACACATATGTATGTACAAACATCACATCTAAGTTCATATATTCATATATGAGTAATTAAATCCCCCTTTGCTGAGCGAGGAACGCTTGTCGTTCCACCGACCATTGCCTCTCTCGATCGTAGCCACTTAGCCGATCGGTAGGTTTTTGTGGCTTTGCCAGCTTTATTTAGTATCCGATGCAAGTTGATGGGAGTGAGTTCGTCTTCGGTTAAAACGCGGTTACTTTTTTGGAGCAAAGTGGCTTTCAAAAGCTTTATGTGAGTCATACGTAAAGCTGTAGTTGTTTTTGTTTTTCGCATACGTACGATCCACATTGTACACTTTTGCTGCATATGCTATATGTACATTCACACATAAGTAGATATAGGTACAATATGTCTTTCACAATGGAAACATTTAAAACGCAAATGGGATTTCGCGAGTACAGGACGCGCAATAAATTATCGATGGAACAACGGATGATGGTAATTAAATCGTATAAACAGACACCGAACTACCAACGTCTGGCGAATTACTTCGGTTGCAGTCCAAAGCAGATAAGGAGTATTATCGCTAATAAAGATGAGATCAAGCGCTACCACAAAAATGAACGTGCCAACAAATTAGCAGAAGAAATTGCCAATCGACGTCGAGAGAAGATTGACTTTCTCGGCAAAGTGGTCTATGAGTTTCTACTACGCGCTCTCTATCTTCGCATGCCAATCGATACATCGATCATACGACAGAAGGCATTTGAAGTGAAAGAGGCAATAGCTATTGAAAATTTTACACCAAACAATGCTTGGTTGCAAGCCTTCAAATCGAGTTACAATAGATTGGATTTAACGGCAATGATGGAGCAATTGCCCAGTTATATGGAGAAGCGACGTTCGTTGAAGTGTATCGATATAATTGAGTTTGTAAGCAAACAAGAGAGAGAGGAGAAAGAAAAAACACATAAGGAGGCAGATGAGAATTGCAACAGTGTGTGGAAAAATGAGCACTCCAATGGAAGTAGTCGGTATGAAAGCGAAAAGGCGATACAGAATTTCATGGAATCTGAAAAAGACGATGACGATTATGTAGCGTATGGCAGTACTGAAGATGATGCTGATGTGGAGAATATTGAGAGTGGCGGAAATATGAGCACAAAAGCTGCACCAATTGTCGTCGATCTTGATACGGATGAGGAAGAGGAAGAGAGCGCTATGGTGCCATCGGTGGAGACTGTATCAGCCAACATAAGTTGTGATGCGAGCAAGCCTATTTTAAAACCCTCAACGCTCCCACCTTTTCCCGATATACACAGCTATCCGGAAGCCATGCGTCATCTGAAAGTGCTGGAAGATTTTGCGATGATAGAAGAGAACTATCGCGCTATTGGCTTGATAACGCAACTGGAGCAAATTTTCAAGAATCCACCCAAATTGAAGAGCTTAGTGCATTGAATAGTTTAATTGAAATTTTTATCGTTTCATGTTAAGGCAGTTAATTACTTAGATCTAGTATTTACATTTATGCATACGTATGTACATATTTTTATCTAGAAGATAATTAAAAATCGAAAGAGGAAATATGTTTAAACGAATTTCCATTAATTGATAACAGTAATGAGATTCGATTTTTACATAAATACTACGCCTGTTAAGAATTATTCAGGATAAGACGACATTGTTCTAAATGTTAATATGTAAATATATAAATATGTATTTACTATTAAGGGTAAATAAATAATAACTCAATTTTTGTTATTTATTAGATCTGTTGTTGCAAGAAAAGGTTGATAAGATTGCTTGAAGCTTGAATGTCACTAAGAAACCAACTTAGAAATTTTGTTGTACCAACCAAACCAAAATACACAAAAAGAGTTAAAGTGAAACCTTAAAATGATTTTGCTCCACTATATCCCACTTTTTCTACATACAGTAGGTCGAAGTTTCCACATTTTGGTCACAAATTCGATTATCTCACAAGTCATTTTATATGTAAATTTATTTTAAACCTAATTCTTGTCTTTGGAAACCTATAACTATAAGGGAGGTCCATAAAAATATCAATATCGTTGGACATCGCTTTATTTCATTCTACGTAGAAAATAAAAACAATCACGAAGAATTCAAAGTGTAAAAAAATCAAAAGTTGCTACCGGGGTTTCATTTTTTTTTAATCGCAAACATTCAACCGTTTATGAATTTACGAACAAGTTTCAAGAATGAGTCAAATTTATCAGATTTCAGTTACAAAAAATAAAGGAAAATAAGTAAAACATTTTAACACCTCAACCCCTTTTGATAGTATATCTTTTTGAAGAACTTCCAAGTAAGCTCATTAAAAATCGCAGCGAGAGGGTTAAAATGTTATACAAAAATGTTTATCAGGAAATTACAATAGAGGTAACCGTAGATGATAAAATCGTCTGATTTGATGTAAATGCGTTATTCGGTTTTATCTAAAATTGAGAACAAAGCAATTACAAATGGATGTAGGTGTAAATTATATGAAATTCTTGGGGCAATCACTTAGGTCCAGTTTCTCAATATCTGGTTAACACTAACTACAGGTTAAACACAACGTTATCCACTCCCTGTTATATGTTATGGAGTCGATAACGATGTTGAACCTGCAGTTAGTGTTAACCAGACATTGAGAAACTGGCCCTTAGTCCCATAAAATTATAAGTTGGAAGGAAAAATCTTAAAAGCTTACATAATTTGTGAACACCTATTTAAAAATAGATATTGATGGCTGAGTGGATGATGGACCTACATATTATATGTATATCGGCGGCTGTCTACTAAACATTCAGCCTCATTGCGTAGGTCGTAAATTAGGCTAAATTGTACGACTCGACAACAGTAGCATTGTCTATTGTCGTAATGAAATAAGTAAACGACCAAAATCGTCGAAAACTATACAGTGCTGCCAAGTTTTTCCGTTTTAATGCACTAGTCGAGTGGAAATTTTAGGCAATGACGTGCAATTTTCGATACGATTCGACTCTCGAAAAACGACTGGCATTCGACACGACTCTCGCAATGAGGGTGATTATCAAGAACACTCTATTTCAGAATTTGCCTGAAAACGGCATAAATGCCTTATCTCAACATATTTTTACTATATTTTCAGTTGGGATAGGGCGTTTTTGAAACGTCAACTAGGATAGAACGTTCTTCAGGCAAATCCTGAAAAAGGGTATTCTTCAATCAAATTCTAAAATAAAGCGTTCTTCAGCAAAATTCTGAAATAGGACGTTCTTGAAATTTTTTTCTGAGATACGCCGTTTTCGAAACGGCTGCCGAGGTAGATCGGCCTTCCATTCAGCCGTCGATATGTTATACGGTAATACCACGCACTAAAAACACAAAATTAACTGGTGTGTTTTTTTTTTAGTTTGGCCGCCTTATTGCTGCGGGATACATACTACAGTAGTCTCTTGGATGGTTTGCTGGAAGTAGGTAGAGTTTTTGTTAATGATTTTTCAAAGACAGTAAATTGTACAATGCGGCCACGTCTTGGTTAATTTGGGAAAAAGAGGCAATACATAACCGAAAAAATCGCAGAGTTATGAAAAAATTGTTTGTGTTTGGATATTTTAGTAAATAATAATATGTACATATTCACAATTGTCTTGTCACTGTAAGTACATACCTGTAGAAAAAGATATAAAAGGTTAAAGTAAAATTTTTTAATTTTTTATTTATTTTAATATCTTATGAACTACATAACCGATGACGACATCACAATACAATGAAGATAATTAATTTGACTTTCAGTTGATGTAAACAATTTATATGTTTTTTATTATGTTTTTAAGCCAAAATACTAAAAACGCAAAAAATTAAATTTTTTTTAATGAAAAAACCCTTTTTTGAAAAAAAAACTGCATACATAATTAATGCTTAAGTAATTTACGTATGTATGTATATTATTTAGAAAGTACAAGATCGATATATTTTTTATTATAATCTGTTTTTGGGTTTTAAATATATGTATAGTGATAGTAAAAATATAAATAAACAAAGCAAAGTAACCTCTTATATTTACCTTCTTTATTTTTAACTTGCTTTCCGTACGTCATGGCGTGTGTGTATTTTACTACGATTGTACGGTAGAAAACATTTTTGTTTATTTCCTAAAACACTTTGCATGCTTTCAAACCAGCGATCGGATTTTCTCGAGCCAAATCTCCATAGTCGATTCAGCGCTCAGCAAACGATTTAAAAGGCAATACTACATACATGCTACATACTACATATATACACACATGTCCATATTAACACACGTATTCAGCGACTGTTCGGTCGTGAGCGGACCAGCACAGCTCTCCCAATAATTCCGAAGCACTAACTCAGCTCTTCAAAACCGACGAATTTTACAGCATTCTAATTTCTGGCGCTCACTTCCCTGCAAAAAATTTTCTAATCTCTAAAGAGAGTATTCCGAGATTACCTCAATCGGGTACAGTTGGGCATTAATTAGTCCGAACTAGTCTAATACGGGTAGTAATGGAGGTCAATTAGGCTCGACTCATCGCTTTTGGGTATAATTGGAGGTCAATTAGTCCCCAACTCATCTCTAACGGGTACTATTAACGATTTAATGATATGTACGCACTTAGTCAATGGAATTTCATGTGCGGCGTTGGCACACAGAGAGAGTATTCGCCTAACAAAACAGAGCAACCCGGTTCGCATCTCAGCTGGCGCAAATTTTTATTTTTATTTTTTAAAAGTGACTAGTCGCCTTTTATACCCTTTCGGTATAAAGGTGAATAATTAGTCTCTTCATAGGACATGCTCGAACAAATAAGAACAGTTGATTCCAAATAAAAAGATACCAAAAGTGGTATTAGGCGTTTTTCCTTTGCTCCCGGAGTCATCGCGGTCTAGTCCTATTCTTGCAGGGTTGGTTAACATTGCTTATGCACATATGTACATAAGTATGTACAGAAACATCGCATCTATTCACAAACATACATACATATGTTCATATATAAGAGGAATTAAATCGCCATTGCTGAGCGAGGAACGCTTGGCACTTCTCCGACTATTGCCTCTCTCGATCATAGCCACTTAGCCGACCGATGATTGGCTTTTGTGTCTTCGCCTGCTTTATTTAGTATCCGATGCAAGTTGATCGAAGTGAGGTCGCTTTCGGTTGAAATGCGCTTACTATTTTCGGGCAAAGTGGCTTTAAAAAGCTTTATTTGACTCATACGTAAAGTTGTTTTTGTTTTTTCCCATACATATCATCCACCTTCTCCACGTCTGCTGCATACATATGTATACTATACATAAGCACATAAATGTAGATGCAATATGTCTTTCACCATGCAAATGGGCTCTCGCAAGTACGTTAAATTATCGTTGGAGCAACGCATGATGGTAATTAAATCGTTTAAACATACACCAAACTACAACCGTTTGGCGAGTTACTTCCATTGCAGTACAAGGCAGGTAAGGAGTATCATCGCTAATAGAGATAAGATCAAGCGCTACCACAATGAACGTGCCAAGAAATTAGCAGAAGAAATAGTCAATCGGCGTCGAGAGAAGATTGACTTTCTCTGCGAAGTGGTCTATGAGTTTCTACTACGCGCTCACTATCTTCGCATGCCAATCGACATATCAATCATACGAACGAAGGCATTTGAAGTGAAAGAGGCATTAGCTATTGAAAATTTTACACCAAACAATGATTGGTTGCAAGTCTTTAAATCGCATTACGATACATTGGATTTACCAGGAATGACGGAACAATTACCAAGTTCTATGGAGGAGCGACGTTCGTTGAAGTGTATCGATATAATGGAGTATATAAGCAAGCAAGCTGGAGGGAAGGAAGAAAAAACACATATGGAG